GAGGAGCTGTGAGTGTGTCGATATACATGTAGTAGAAGACTGAGAGAAACGAGACGGTAGTCTTTTTAGTTTTCGTTTGCGTCTTTGCCACAGGTTAGGCACAAACCGGGTCAGGAATACACCTTGAGGCGTTTGGCAGGTCATGGTAGAAAATGCATTCCCACTTTTCATCTTTTCGCCAATGAACTCGAACCAAGTGCTCGTCGATTGCTCGTTTGTTTCATTCAGTGACATGCGTGGCGATGCGTGAGGAATCATGGCCATGACATGAAATGAAAGTCGTCTGCGAGCTGCGAGTTCCCCATTTGAGTTCCCAGCGCAACAAAGTAGTCGGCTGCCGCCTGTGCCTGCGCCTGCTCTCGCGCCTGACGCTCGAACGCTCCGACCGTATCTTGCGTCGCGGCCATGGCCTGGCGGAAGAGAGCCGACACAATCTCGTGCAGCCAGCGAATCTCCTTGTCATTGGTGCGCGGCACCATCTGGTCGAAAACGGCAACGGCCTTGCGAGTCAGTTCGCGGTCGAGCGTAAGGTGGGGGTGCATCGGCTCGATGAACATTTGGGTCAATACCATCATGACCGTGGCGAAGCGTGCGCTTGCGCTGATCCTGTTGTATTAAAATTGGGTCAGTCTTTTGCATGTCCCGTCACGCAGCCCGTTGGAAAGAGGGAGAAGAACACACCAGAAGCCACATTCTGTAAACGGCGCGTCGGTGAAGAGCTGAATGAAAGCCCTCGATTGAACCACGCAATTCTCCCACCCAGCAGGTATCTTCCCCTTGCACGATTCAGAAATGGTGCCGTTGGCGGCGCACGCCGTCATGCTCTGTCGCATATCCTTGAACCAGCACGTCTCGTTCATATCGAATGTGTAGATGCCGTGCGCATGCACGAGGCAGAGCATGTACGTGCTGTACATGTTGACCATGTGCACCGCATTGGTCGGAGACATTGAACTCGCGACGTTGGCCATCTGGAATTGTTCGGGGATCTGCAAACGCCACTGTTCGAGCATGTGGTTGAGCTGCTGCCGGCGCTGGACGCGGTCCTCGGGGGAGGCCTTCTTGGAGCGCGTGCTGTAGAGCAGGTCATAGATCTTGCCCTGGATATGGCTGAGGGCGGTGCGCGATCTGAAGTAGTTGAACTTGATCGTCGAGTCCGTCGAGTACATAATCGATACATTATCAGCAGGGTCGAGATCGGGAAGCGGCAGGTCGATGTCGGCATCGACTTGGAACGACGGCATCTTTTGGTTCAAGCTGACATCCTAGGAGGCAAATCAGCCAGCTGCACCGAGGGGTTGAGGTTAGTGTGTGCCGGCCGTGGAACATACCTTGTCGAGGTAGTAGGCGACCCAGAAGATTCGGGCCCTCTGGACAGCTTCATGCTCAGGCAGCCCGTTGGAACGATCCTGGTCGTGCAGGCCCATGCGGTGGGCCAGGCGAATGGTGGTTCCGAGGAGGACAGACGCGGGCTTGGGGTTCTTGGTACCCAAGAAAAGGAGCGACATGCCCAGCAGGACCTGCAAGCCGACAAGATCTTCTTCCCTTGTCACCAGCTCGTTGACAACGGTCTGGGCGTTCCGCAGGTACGCAGCCGACTTTTCGCCGTCGGTGGCAAAGTCATTCTCAGACGTGATACACGCACGGTGGGCGATGGCGAGGACAATGTTGATGGCAGCCCACGCGGGCCTCGTGCGATGTATGACGTGGGAGTACCAGTCGGACAGCATGGTCATGAAACTACCCTGGTGGAACAGCGGCAAGACGACGTTGAAGCGCGTAAAGTAAACGTCGACGAGCGGCAGCACATCCTCCAACGGCGGCAGCACCATGGGTTCGGGCTGGGCGACCCAGTCACTGGGCGTCGTCGTGTCCGAGCCCGACATCAGGACGGGGCTCTGCCCAGCGGCGGCGACAATGTTGGAGAGCCATTGCGGTTCGGGACTGGGTGTCTCGAACACCTGGGAGGGACTGAACGGACCGGCTACTGGCTGCTGCACTGGGGGCTGCTGTGACTTGACGGGCTGTGACGCGCTCGCTTCTAGAACTTCCTTGAGCTGGTTTTCGATGAGCGCCAGACGGGCCTCGAGCTCAGACTCGCGGCTGGATACAGAGTTCTGGGCTGGGCGGGGAGGCTTGTCTTTGGCAGCGGCGGTTCTCCGGCGGAGACGTGTTGTCTTGCACTCTGATTTGTACAGCAGGCAGTTGGAGCAGTGCGGCTTGAGCATGTCACACTTGATTTTCTTGGTGAAGCACAAGTCGCAAGCTGCACAGGTGGCTTCGTGTCAGCAAAGAGCCCCCAAAGACAAGGCCGAGCCAAGCCAGGCCAGGGGCCAAACAAGCAAGGTCCCCGAGAGGGGTTGGGAGGCGAACCTTTGCGACGCTGAGACGTCAACTCCATCTTGTCAGCGGATAATGCCAGCGCAATGCCAGATGACTTTGGCGGCAGTTGCGATGATTCAAACGTCTTGGGTGAGATGAAGGAAGAGTTTGGCAGGATAGGCCGGATGAAGACTCAAGGGTCCAGCTGAGGGGCGTGGTCGCATGGGTGAGACGTGGGCTTGCGGTGTGCCTGCTGACAGCGGGTGAGGTACCTTGGTCAAGTACCGCCCGAGCCAGACCGGAGGTTGTGAGCGCAGGAGCAAACCTTAATTGACTCCAAACGCGAGG